ATGAATTGCCACAACAGTCGCCTATTTCCAGTCGTGTGTTAGCCTACTTTCTGAAGAGAACAGTTGAATAGGTCCAAGACTGGATACTGTAGAATATCAGCGAGCGGCTTAACAATCGCTGGATGAATATTGTCAGGACCTGTCGATTTATAGGGTTTTAAGCCAGCTAGCACCTCAAGGACATCTGATGCAGTTATTACAACGTCTTGCATTTTAATGTCCCGTGAGAAGTTTGACTGCGAGGGAATTACATAGTCGCTGTCCACCGTGTAAGTGCTAAAAGACACGCAATAACACCCCCGCCTTAACTGAATCTTCCACAACCTCAATACCATCCTCCTTAGTTACGTTATCAATTTCCTCCCTCAAAGAAGCTTTTGACTGCACATAACTGTGATACAACTTTGGATTTCTTTTTACATTCTGAGCTAATCTGAGCTCATAGCGATATTTAGCTCGCCTCTGTCATTTTACAGATCTATTCTGATATCGTTTATAGTGTAGCCATTGTCTGAAGCCCCCAGCTTCCTAAAAGATTTTCCATCAATTATTACGTCTCCGAAGCAATCGGGCGATTTCACCTCGCCACCAGCGCGGCCCATTCCTGCTTTTATCGGGGCAAAAGGGGTGAACTCATCCAGCAATTGCACGCAGTCAAACTTACGCATGCCCCATCTTTGTTCTAGCGTGGTCTGTTCTTGAGTAGGAGCCCAATGGAGCTAGAGGGCTCTGTACCGCAAACGGCTAATACCGATTCGGACAAACTTTCTGACAGTTGGGCGAGAAAGCGGAGTGCCAACGTTCGCGCGTTCGTCACCAACCGTGCTTCGGAAAGACCATGCGAGCGTGCTACCAGGGCCCAGCCGAAAGGTGATAATGATCCGACAGCAGGCGTGTCGCCAAGGCCTGACCGGGTGCTGATGAAATCGCGCGTCAGACATCACGTGCGTTGCCAGGCGCCAGATAGGCGGACGAAGACTGGAGTGCCCGAGCAACACGGTGAACTGGACGGATGGAGCGGACAAGTAGGTGTGAAGCGTGGGCTTAGAGCCAAATCCGCCTGGTGACACCGACATATAAATATGAGCGTTCTCTACCATAACAGAACTCTGGTCTGCTGAGTCTTCTTCTGTCTTCCTTCCGGTCGGGTTTGCCAAGGCGTCAAACGGAGCACGCGTAAGGGCACAGATTTAGCAGCAGGCGTGAATCAACCAGTCGAGAGCGATCAAGACCCACAGCGTTATAACACTTTTCCACAAGTTGGGATTTCAATGACAACCTCTTCACATTCACCGAAAATGTAAGGACACCGTGATCGCTCCTACCTATGGGGGCCTCCGCATGCATCTCGGTTACATGGTCATGCCTAGTGATCACGACATCTAAAGTGGAGGGGTAGTCCGAATTCGACTCCTCTTCGAAAGGATATGTTGGACGAACGCATTCTCGTGTATTCATTTAACCAATTCCCACACCAAAGTACCTGTCACCTTGATGGAAATGCTCCCAGTCTGCATGTGGAAGATTTAGGTCACCAAGTAAAACAAAATTCGGTGCAGCAACTGCCGTCTATTTTAAGATGTTGCTGAGCTCATTGCCTCCACGAGAGTGGAGGAAGGGCTATGGTACACACAGACAGTAATTTCCAACTTGCCATCTACCTTCAAAAAACAAGAAACAGCTTGTACATTTGACGTTGCCATAAAAGATGTAGCTTCCCAGTGATTGTGGTTGTTTTTAACGAGCAAAAGCACCTCCACCAACGTGTTGCCCGGGCCAATCCACTCCATGACTGGAGAAATCCACCGGTAAGTCGCTAAATTGATCAGTGGACGACTGCCAGATCTCAGTCAGTGTGACAACGTCGGCGAGCCTGCAACGCAGCGTCAACTCCTCCCACTTATTCCTGACGCTACAACAGTTAGTGTACCATACTCTCAGACCCCCTCTCTGCAGCTTCTTTCTTTCGATTAGCGGTTTTCTATAGTTCCCCTCGGATTCAGAGTCTGAGTGGAACGCAAAGCACCACGAGCTTTCGCTATACGATTCGTGACCTCATCTTCTATTCCACATGCGCTAGTATAGCTGCTTAAGTGCTTATATTTCTGAACGACTTCTAACTGATAATCACCAAGGGTCAGCTCAAGGTTGGGTCCTTTTTAATCTTGGAGGAAGACTTTGCATTTAGAGGGTCCAAAACATATCTTAAAATGATTGGCAACCACTGTTGTTTGACATATTAGTGAGTTGTCACAGATTAGGACAATGTCGTCGGCATACTCTTAGTCAAGAAGTCGCTCACCAGAAAACGTGATCAGATCGCGCCGTGCACGCAGATCAATCGCCTTCGATTTCCAACATCTGAAATAAACATTAGAAAGTGATAGGCTCACTTTGATCATGTCGTGTTAACGAAGTTTCGGTTTTCCCGCATGCCGCTTCCCGACACACAGTTGGCCATATAGTAACTGCTTCGGTATTCACGTCGAATCCTTACGCCACACATGACCGAACCACCTCAAGTGTCTCAGCAAAAGTATGCAGTCCACTGCATACATTCCACTTCGGCGCAGCACTTGCATGTCTGCAATTCTGTCGCACTAACCGATGCGCAGAATCCGTCGCAGACACTGTTGATGAAACCTACACATGGTTGGCGGCATCCGGTTTCAGAGTTGCCTGTCACTGTGGCCAGCTACACTACGCCTGCGCTTACAAAGGGACCATGGGTGGCTTGCGCTACACCACCCACAGCTCCAACCGTACACTCCATATCCAGTGTAAACTCGAAGGACTAAGACCGGGAGGCATGTGGATAGAAGTCACGTTTTATCAATGGAGCCGGCCCACACTCCTTCACAAGCAAACACAAGCACGCTGTATTCCGGATTCAATCGTACACAAGGCGGTGGCTGGACCGTAGTCTGCTCCACACAGTGCATAGAACTACTCTTTGAGCCTAGCACGAACAAAAGGACCGTGCACCCCATCCCATCCAGCAACGACCCACTGTCTCCTGGAATCAGTATGGACGAGGTAGTGGGTAATAGACAGGTAGGCACCGTGTCAACATGCACATCAAGCGCAGCCACACCGGGGATGTCAAACAACAGCCAATCTCTTGATATGACATTATCAAATAAAATGTCTATTAAAGCACATGAAGTAAGTTGGTTAGCTACAAATGTTACAAACGTTACTCAAAAATGGTACAAGCACAATGAATTTAACGAATGTAACCACACTTAGCGTAAGCAACGTGCGCAAATTAACAGAACATTAATTGTTCATTTGTTCTCCGAGCTAGGCGGTTTTCTCGCAAACGTTTCACCACCATGCGAGGTGGCATCCTCAGTGCAGTGATATATAGCGTACAAGCTTACTAAATGAATTCTCCCTCCATGATCGACCTGCAAGTGACTTTGTACGCTATATATCACTGCACTGAGGATGCCACCTCGCATGGTGGTGAAACGTTTGCGAGAAAACCGCCTAGCTCGGAGAACAAATGAACAATTGATTCATCAACCCGAGCTACCAGTATTTCGAAACATTTTAAATAACAGAACATTATTCAAGTGGGGAGAACAAACCAAATAAAATGGAATGAAATTTATCCAACTTAAAGACCAAGTTTAACTTGGTTTAGCCCAACTGCGTTGAAGAAGCATCATGAATGCAACATCAGCCTACATATATACATGCACACATAGATCCAATATGTTTCTGGTTAACTTGCTACATTTTTGTACAAATACTGATTATAAGTGTTGTATTATGTATCGTGTTGTATCATGTTTTTGCAGGCGTGCCTCGCACTGCCGAAAATAAAACATTATTTATTCACTAATTATGCTGTCGACCATAGGCCGCTTGGAAACTGGTTTGTGTATTTTTGGCAGAGCCGACTTCGGATACATGCCATACCATTTTCCGTCTCCTAAATCATTCTTCATTATTCATAAATAGTTAGCAACCGATCTCATTCTTTTTCGTTATCGTCGTTACGTTACCTTGTTTGGGTCCCTCTCCAAATGCTGTCCCGTATTTTCCAGATAATCTAATTTACTTATTACAATCATTGTTTTCCCTTATCGGCCTTTGTGATCACAACACTGCGATCTTCCTTCAAGGACTTAAAGGCAATGCGTTCAGATGACGCAAGTTTCGGTTCCCTTTGCTGTTGAAACTTGATGTTATTCACTAACTTTGCGCGAATGTTCTTTGCCTCAACAGCGAGGAACTTCGTTGCCACACTGTCACCGCTGGGGATAATTTCTTCTGCATATATCTTAACTTTATTCTCAGTAAAAGGCAAACTCTTCTCCAGCAGTCTACACTGTTTCATTCAAGACCCTATCTGACATACTAACTACATACAGTAGCTACCATGAGACCCAGACATGTCTGTAGGACTAGTGGCCTTGCACTGCATACTCATTAAACGGTTATTCCCACTGTGGGTAAACCATATGAGGCGACATCTTAACCTGCGACTGTAACAACACCTTGGCTCATATCTGCTATCGCGATTATCGTCCCTGTTCGCTATAAAATGCCACTCCAAGTATATACTGATACACCTGTACTGACGAAGCTTTTGTATCAAAAGCTACATTTTGACCAACAGACACGCTAACCGATCGTTAAAAAACCTGTCTGAACTCACGATTTCTCGATCGGTTCCAAGTATATTCCGCGATTTTGAATGCCAAGGTTTTATTCCTTAAATCGACGTTTCAATCCTAGTACCCATATGCCACCGCAATGACGTTACATTTTGGGCATTTAAGGACGTTGCCCTTTTGTTTAGTACGCGTTCCATCTCTTTAGATGCGATACCGAGTAAGAGTTTGGTATTCAGGTAGTTTTCATTCCCATTTTTTGCGACAAACCTATTTTTCTTTAGTTTCCTGAATATAAGCGTATACATATAATCATCATTTAACTGTTTCAAACTTCATCTGTGCGGCTTTTCACCAATCGGTCTTCCCATTCAGATTCTTGTTCACGGCGAGCAAAATGAAATGCTCCGATTGGCTGGCGCCTTACAACGTGAGTATGAGGACGATGATACTTGCTGTCTTGAACTCTTCACACCGAAGAACTGCGTTCCGGTCAATTTGCGATTCCGAGGCGAAAAGGTGGCCAAGGTGCTTGGAAGCTTGGCTAGATGTACTCCAAAACACAACCAGTCTATATCTGGCGTGCTGGTGAAGAAAAATTTTGCCTATCACATTCTGACTCCCGAGGAGCTCCCAAGTAAGCAGTCGAGACGTGTTAGTATGCGAACCGCCATGCGGTTCATAGTACCTTGGGTTCGACTTACGACCTGATCGTTCGTCCTGTTTCTTGTACTTGAGGCCGCAGCAAGGTGACCAGTGTCTTTTGAGGCATGTGGAATACTTTAATCTTACTTCCGCGAATTTGTTTATCTGGCTCTATCATCTTGCGCCTAGCAGTGTAAAGTTGGTGAGTGGATTACTCCACCTTTCGTATTATTTTGTTCACACAAGGTTAGCAACGACATTGTGCTCCCACGCTTCGTTAAAACTGTTTGGTTTTGTGTGACGAAACAATGTATTAAAGTTCCGCACATTGGAAGCACTTATATGTCCATTTTATTACACCCTTAATGACTGGTGTCGAAGATGCCGACTCACACTCTTGAACACGTGATTGACGGCTACCGGTTTCGCTGCTATAGCGGTGTTATGTGATGCCGGTTGATTTTTAGACCGGATTGCGGACATCGAGGACTCCTCCCGCTTATTCAGAGTATAGTGTTCAACTACAACACTCGTAACTGTCTGTATGTCGCAAGTTACTAAGGCGCTGCGCCCCATTTCAATCATCTTCCGCGACGATGAACACGATCGTATCTTGATATATTGTCCTCTTTTACCTCTCCACTGACTTATGAACTGTTTTAGTAGCGCACGTAAGGCATCCACGAAGATCAAATTATGTACACAATAGAGACAGGACTCGACCAGCTCTACCTCGTTCAGGGGATAAAGTTCTTCTGACCCTGCCACTCTGGTGTCTGTACTCCGCTAGTATCCCTAATAATCTGCCGTGCTTGTCTACACAGTGTCTTCTCTTCAGACGCTGTGGCCGCTCGCGATCTTCGAACAAATATCTCAAGACGCCCCACTTTTAACTATCATTACTACCATTTTGACACTAAGGAATCAGCTGCATTCATGGGATGGAAAATTAACGGCTAGATACAAGAAGCCGAAGGCAGTACCCCACTGATTGCGCGGCTGCGATATGTCTTATAGTCTCCAACCACTCCTGTGGACCATCTCTGGGCCGCTATCCTCTTGACCAAGTCTCAGTCAACTTCATCATGCCATTATATCACCTCACCGACTCGTTACCTCACGATTTCGCCCGACCTGGTGCAGTGACGGTATAGAATGAACGTTACCTAACCGACGTAATCTGTTGAGCCAAGTCAAACACTTGGGAGAGGTACCAGGAAGCCTCTTGCGCAGAACCAGCAGGCAGACCTCAGCACTGCTCACCCGATGTTTCCACGTAATTCATAAACCTCTCAGCAAGTACCGATGATCAAACACAATCAATCGTTTTTTATCTTCACTGCGAGCTGACCACGTCTCTGATCCATACAGTAACACCCGTAAGCGTCAAAACGCTTAGGAAGCTTGAGCAGAACGCACAGTCGCCGGTTGTACAAATTCAACAAAAGCAGGAACAGATCACCGGAAACAAATTCACAAGCCGGAATTGATCGACGATCCCCGGAATAAGTCAAAATTCAAGTCCGGATTAACTACAGTGCTATTAAGATACAATAAATATCAAAAGATGACAAACCTCAAACGGTGTCCACAGACACAAGAGGTGCAAGCAAAATGCTGGGCGGAACTGCAAAGGACCGCTACAAAGCAAGACAAGACACAAACTGAGTGACCGAACGCATACACATATACTCGGTAGTCAGAAGTCAGCCTGAGGCAGCAATGATTGGACCGAACTACGTGCACCAATCGCGCAGTTGAGATGACAGGATAGACAGATTCGGCACACAGCTGAATGGTTGCTACGCGTGGGTAGACTGACGTGTTCCTCGGGTAATGCACACAGGGGGTAAGAGACAATGTGCGTAGCAAGCTCCAACAACCATTGAGCGTAGGCAAGATGAGTAAACTCGAGTGTTTAACCAATGTTCATGAGGTGGTTAAGAGGCAAGTTTGCTGGGGTGTTATCATGCAAGGTAAAACAAGAGTAGTGACATCGTGTTGGGGGAATAAATCGCGGGGAACTCTCCAGATAGACTGAGCAAATTGATTTGCCTGGTGGAATTTCTGCCAAATCGTCAGGGTTTCCCACTGACGGTGATTCTTTCCGTTCTGGCTTGCCTGACTACCCGCTCCATCCACGCTGGGCAGATACAGTATTTACATTGGTACGCCTGCATCTCCAACTTCCTTCTTTTGAGCTCTAGTGGTCCTCCCTCGAGCGGTAGCACCGAAGACCCGCCTCCCACCTGCGGAAAGCCAGAAGCCGAAACTACACCTTCCTCTGGGCAACTACGTTTCAGCAAATAGATTTCTTGCACATCTCTTAAGTAAACTAACACCGGCCTTACCGTAGCATTATACACCTTGCCTTTCATTGACAAACAGACGGTTGAGCCCCTGAAAAGCAACACGGTCCTTGGTGGTACGCGAAGTAACGTCCATAGTGATGTGACTACCGGAGCAGCCATAGCTACCAAAGTAAATAAACCGATCCGCCACTTTCATTGGCCATTCGGTGACAGTTGGATCGATGGCTTATCGGCTCAGTCCTACAACAGTACTTTGCACTCTGAAACAGCAGTGTACATACAGAAGCCTGGAGGTCTGTCTCAGTCGATGAACTAGTGTTAGCATAGCCACTGCTATGTCATCCGCATACTGAAGCTTTGTCAGTCGGTTACCTAGCAGGACGTCCACTACGGCTGAGTTTGAAAGAACTGAGTCGTTCATGATCATTTCGATCACAAAGTGGAAAAGTGGAACCACTTTTCATAGTTAAACTGGGACGGCTTCCTGCGGACTCATGCGCGGCATCGGGAGTCACTGTAGAAAGATTTCAGGATAGAAGAGTATTTAACCTGCACCCACTTCATGGATAAAGTGCCACAAGCGGGCTCGATCAAGAGTCGAAGGCAAGTTTCACGTCACCATAGTCGTCCATCTGTAAGTGTTTCTGTTCTAACATTTGACGAAGAGCAAATTTGTGGTCCATGAAGCTACGACCAGAACAGAAACCAACCTGGCTTTCAGTGATTCGGCTCTTGCGAGGACCAGCGAGTGGTCGAAGAACGATACCTGTCAAAGTTTAGAACTAATGAAAATAAGGCCAATATCTGTGATTTCGCACAAAGCTCGCTGACCCTTCTAGATGGGTACGACAGTGCTCTGAATTGACCGACCGTCTTGTACTGATGTGCGCCACTGGTGGCAATATGGTCAATTTGGGCGCCAGCTAAAGCAATGTGAACGTTTGTGTCGGTGAACAGTGCTGCTAAAAGACTGCGGTCGGCGGACCGTCGCAGAAATCGATCGTCATTGTCTGTTTGACGTGCATCGACCTCGAAGCTGCCTCTCATTGTTCATAGTTTGAACAACGGCCCATTTGAGTATTCAAGTCGCCAGAAGCATTCAGCATCTTTTGTCATACGATGAAGAGATGAAAGTTCACGGAAGTACTCGTCTTTGATGCGCTCTGAACAGCATTCATTAGGGGCGTAAACAGAGGCGATGAAGTCACCTTGTCGAATCGCACACATGCATGTTCTACGGCATCCAGTCAACTAGATTGCTTTCATCATATTTGCTGAGGGCGATACCAACACCGTAAGCACCTTGAGCCATTGACTCAGTATCGCCAAAGTGTAGTCGCCGTCGTCAGATTCAGAACCAGGGAGCCGAAGATTCGTCACAACGCTGTGCGTGTTTCGATGGCACAGCACATATCGATATCAAGTGATAATTGGCAGGTGGCAGTTGGCCTGTTCACGCATAACAGAAAGAAATACCCAGTTAGGGTAGATTACTTCAGTGACTATTTTGAGATTGAAGCAATGCCCTGGATCATTGCTCGTGCGGCGGTAAACAAGCTACGCATTCATTTTCCACTACTCGGAATCCCTGAGGAAGTGGTATCGGACAACGGACCGCAGTTTACTGTTGAGGAGTTCCGAACTTTTAGTAAGAAGTTGGAATTCGATCATCACCTCCCCAGCCCTTACCAATGCTACTCGAACGGAAAGACTTATGCAGCGGTGAAGATTAGAAAAAGAACACTAATCAACCCTAAAGTGCTAAATAAAGACTGAAGAAACATTCCGCCTCCGGGATTTGGAGTGAGCTCTGTTCAATACAGAACGAGAACTTAGTTGTCCGCGACCAAAATCCTGCTCCAGCCGGTAAGCACAATGCCTGGCGATGATGCACGACCGTTTGAAAAAGCGAGTGCTTAGGCAGAAACGGTATTATGATCGCGAATCTAAAGAGCTACCACCACTACGGGTCGGCGAAGAGGTATGGATACCACTGGCAACTGGAGCATTAAAACAGTGGAGGATAGGAGTAGCGAAAACATGGGTAGGATAAAGAAGTTATGTGGTCAAGGTGGGATACGGTTTGTACCGGCGAAGCTGTATTCACTTGGGACGAATTCTGCAAGGCGTGTGACGTCGAGCGAGCGATAAAACCAGTAGGAAAACAGAGCTGACGAAGATAGAAAGAGGACACGCAGCGCAAGAACGTATGCAATCTCGACACCGAAGGAACCCAAACCAAAAAGCAGGGGCGTGGTATAAGCATTATACTGGCAACTGGTGTTATTCGCATACGCTTTCGGAACGAATGTTATCGATTCTTCACCGCCAGTCGACTGTCAATACCTACACGCGTGAGCAAGAATCGCCTTGCAAGGCTTCACGACCAATTGGCTCGTTCGATGAATATGCCAGAGGTACCCAATCAGAAAATACGAAATCGGGATCGCTCGGCGGAGTATAGGTTCCCCTATAAAAGATGTTGCCTTCTGCTCGAAATGGATTCTGATCACAGCACTCTTCGTTTCCGATTCTCAGAGGGCGTTACACGACACTAGTCAGTGTTGCTCAATGGGTTACGAAGGTACGCAAGCCATCGCTCAACGTCAAAGCCCATTCTCGTCGTGATGGCCTGTTAGACACCAATCGGCAAACTCTATGCAATCAAGGGAGCTTGATGCGGCAAATAACAGAGGCCATTCGGTTCGCATCTAATCGACTGTTTCCTAGGTCTCGCTGGTCTTTTTGCTGATAACAATTCACTACTCCCATCAAATCCTCCCTTATCACGCTTTTTTGTCTCCTGTCCACGCACGGCTTGCGTTTGGCTGCTCGTTGTTGCCTTCATTTGTGTGACTTAACCGATGGTGTTTATTCTTGATCAGTGATTGTGAACCGAACATATCTTACCAACCCTTACGTTGTGTCCAACATTTTATTTTGCCTTTTTTGTACAAGCCTGAAGAGGAATTACTGAAAACATATGTTCGCATGTATCGACTTTTAGCCTTGCTTGTGTTAATGGTGAGCCCGAATTTGCCCGCTGTCGAAGCGAGAGTCGACGTCATGTGCTTCAGCTCATCCGCGGTGTGTGCAAGCAACGCACAGTCGCCGGCAAACAGCAATATATAATGGCCGTCTCATGCACTCGGGTTCTGTCTCTGAAACGACGGATGTTCCGCAATCCACCAACAATACAGTGTTCCACACGGACACCGTAATCACAAGCAATATCGAAAGCACAATACATCATTTCATGGAGGTGAATTTGAAACACGACAGGGGCAAAATACACCCTTGCCTCGCACTACACAGCAGCAAGGTTATCCGACGTTTATCCACAGAGCTGCACTCTCGTCAGCATACCACTGTGGAGGCATTCAATTAAACTTACAAAACTTATTCGGACAACCAAACTTACCCAATACCATCCACAGTGCCTCGTGGATCACTGTGTAAAATGCCTTGGTGAAGTTAACAGAGAGCGAATATAATGCCTGTTGTCGCTCTCTGTATTTCTCTTGCAACTGACGAGCCTCGAACGGAATCCACATTGCTCTTCTGCCACGTTCGGTTCCACGACCTGACTGACGAGGCAGTTGAGCAGGATTCGGGCAATCACCTTGTCTACACAATTCAGCAATTTGATGCCACGATAATTCGTACAACATTGTCTGCTCCCTTTGCACTCGAACTGTGGTAGCGCAAGGGCATCCTTTAGCTCGACCGGCACTTTCTCTTTAGTCCACACGCGTTGCACCGTGGTGTATCGCATTTGCCAACACGGGTCAGCAGTGTTTCAATACTTCAGACGAGATCCTGTCAGAACTGGTGCGCTTGCCGTTTCGCAGCTTAGTTGCGTCTCATCTAGTGTCGGTACCGATATATCTTCATCTTTCGTTGTTCCGGCCAGTGCAACATAACCCATTCTGGCTCTGAACGGCTGTTCAAGAGACAGTGAAAATGCGTTCGCCATATCTGCATTGTCTACGATCGGTGTGCAGGCAGCGCCCGAAGTAGTATCGAGCAGCGTCCTCAGTGGCTGCAACGTGGGTCCATACACCGACTTCAAGGCATGCGGTATAGCATTCTGTCTGCTTCGCCTTTTACGTCCACCATACATTATTGATGCGACGGAGTTCCCGAGTCAGTCGTCGTCGAAGTTCTCGAAGATGACTCTCCTTGTGGTCAGCAAGGTCATCCACATATGCAGCAAATGCTGCAATCTTCTCCGAAACCAATGCGTCAATGGTCGTGCTATTGTCATCAAACGAATCTGGGCGCTTACAGTTTGCGGGTCGGATAGATTGCTAGGCAACAGATGTTACCTGGTCATGGACGTGGTGCCAAAAGTCGCTCACTGAGGTAATGAGTTCGACATCGCCTTCTCCAGTTCCGTCCTCGTAGCAGTACCTAGAGAAAGAACGTTCTATTTCCGTCAGTTCGCGGCAGCAGTGTAATACATAGATGTACGAAAATATATGTACAACTTAGTCCACATCAACTTGTGATCAGTGACACACTCAGCTCCACGCAGTACACGTGTCATGCGCACTCCACGCATGCGACGCTGGCGTGCAGTGAAACAATCAAAAAGGTGAGCGTGACCACTCCGTGGCTGTATCACTAGCATCCAGTTTCAACTGTTCGTGATCGTCAGGCGATTAGTGGCATACAGTGGGATCAGCTGGTCTCAGTTCCCATTGGCTGTGCCACTGCCATGCGGACCGATGATGTCTGTCCACACCACCGCATCACTCCCGAAGCGCGTTGAAATCATCTAGTTGGAATAGCCGGTCGTCTCTCGGCACAGACCCTGTCACGAAAGATAGCTGAGTGTAAAACAGATTCCTTGTCACTTGGATAACACATAGTGGTAACATACGTGCTAATATAAGTGGCAAATTTACCTTTTTCAACTCGCAGACGGAAGGTCATGAGTCGTGCGCTGATGCACGTTGGCTCTGTCACTAGCTGGCCATTTAAGCGGTCGGACGGTGCAAACCCGGCCCCATGTTCACGTGATGCTGTTATGGCGTTTCACACTCAGTAGAACGTGCACGTCGCACCAGCCTCATACAGGTTACCTTGTTTAGCCAGCCGAGTCTCTCTGAGTGCGGCAATATCGATCTTGTATCGCGCGAGTTCCATCGCGACCAGTGCAGTGCGTTGCTCGGGACACTCACTCTTATTCCGGTCTTGTAGCGTGCACACGTACCAGCATCCGATGTTGAGTGCTTTGCGCGTAAGTATACGATTACGTTAGCAGACAGTCAAATAGATGGTTACTTGGATTAGAGGAAGTAGTGGGTTAGGTGAAACGGGGAAGGGGAGAGTATGTACCAGGGAAGAAGCGAGAAGCGATGTGCCACCGGTGGCATGTTTTCGCTTATGCACCCAGCTGTACGCAGCAGATAAGGCGACCCTTTCCTACGGCCACTGTGCGACTGCCGATGCAGCATGAAATTATTATAATTGGCGTGATTCATGTTGGGAGTTGGACTAGGCTACTGCCAAGGTGCCCACACCTGAGAGTACGACTCATGTCCTCAGCCAAAGCCTTCCATAAAACGTACACTGCAAAGGCAGCCGGCTGTGCACCATGAGTCAGCGAACTGATGCACGCGGAATTGTGCCGTGGAACTTAGTTATAAGAAGGGTGTAACCCAACTCCCACCCAACGGTCGCCACGTGGTGGTGCCCAGGCTCGACATTGGCAACAACGAGTCGACCATCTTTCCGGATTTCGCCACTATAAACTTCAGTGCGCCATGGGCCCTCTTACTCATACCTCCATATTTGTTGTGTCCATGATTGACGAGGGCATTTGAAATAACGTTGCGAAATGATTGTTTTCTCCTGTGTTGTTTCATTAACACCATCCAGTCAGTGGGTTTTTGCTGCGGCTAATAGTCGAAGCCATTCGCTTCGCATTCGATCGGCTGCATCGTAGGTATCACTGGTCTGCTTGCTTCATCCGATCCACTGCTGCCGTCACAGATGCTAACTTAGCTGCCGGTCCTAGCCTATCTATGAGATGGTATCAATCCGGCTTCGGACGCACTATCCTTGGACATGCGGCTCAACTATTTCTTTGTGTCTGAGAGAGTAAAGCGCAACAAGAGAACGTCTGTCGGCTTATTAGGTGTAGCATTTCGCTGTCGACACCTCCAGTGTGGAACGGGATCTTCGCTTATTTGCTTCCCTTTGGGTATGAATATTTATTCGGGATAAATGCCTAGTTCGTACTCTGATGAGGATTATCAGGAGAGTCTTCTGCTGGTTGCCGGTAACAGTGACGCTCAAACAATGCGTAACTTCGCAGTTTACATGTTTCAAAGCATGGGGCAAGGGAGTCTATTCCCAAGATACGGTGGTCCTTTTATTTGGGCAAACGTGTCCGAGCACCAAAAATTATACGCTTGTTATCTGCTCATTGGCGATATCTCCGTGGTACCATTTGCTATCCACGATTGTCAGTTTACAGTGATTCATCGCCCTCATATGCAAGCAAGAGTACCGTGCTCTCAGATTACTGTCACTAATATCGATCAATGGCGGCCACCGCTATGCATACAGAGTTAGCAGTAATAAACCTGAACCTACCGTGTGATCGTTAAGCGCACCAATTTGTTACCATGTAATTCCGTATGACCTTAGTTGGAGTATCATTGGTTTCATGTTCCTGATCGAGAAAAATACCATGAAAGGACTGAGTTATAGCTATGCATCTTCTATACTTGGTATTTAGGATGATGAAAGGAGTTATTGTCTCTAAGATTGACTCTCCTGGTTGTCAATACAAATTCACTGGTGTTCAAACTGTTGCACAGACTTACGTCACAGACAGTTCCGCATTGACGTTCTATTCGTTTATTTACTGTGAGTCTTAGAACTGCAAGGACTCGAGGGTCACTGAGTTCAGACGACGTAAACTGTGCGCAATGACGTGAGTGAGTATATCTCACTTATTTGCAACTGTTTTCCACTTTCCCATCAAGCCTACACCGAACTTGCAACGACCATAGTCAATCAACTGATTGCCATTCCTTTTGGTGGCAGTGCCAGTCTACTCAAATTTCACCTTTCATTGCTGGCTGGCACGGTTGAGGTGCAGATGCACAAGCCGGACGTAACCAAGTTCCGTGTGTTCGACGCGATCAATGTCACATGGCGGTCGCAACAAGTAAACTTAGAAGTAAGTCTCGCGATTATGTTTCGTTCACATATATCTGATTTGCGGCCACCACAAGACGTCTTTTCGTATTAACAACCGACGCGTAGCTGGTTAACGCAGAACCACTTACATTGCGATTTTACAGCCGCCACACCTAACGATTTGTTCTTTGTATGAAACAACAGTGAACAATATTGCCCGTCCGCACGTCGCTGCTAGGCCTTCTGGCATCCCGCATCGCACCAATTTCGGCAACATTCCATCGCGTTTCCTCGGTTCCATCCGACTCTTGACTACGCGACTAGACAAGCGCACCTACCAGTCAGTTTCAAGATATTATCAACATAAGAGTGATACGACAATGTAACAAATGTACTTAGCACCAAACTGACCTTGTGAATATCGTTGCTTATTTTGTGTATCAGTCTGCTTTAGATGATGATCAGCCTAAAAATCTTCGTCTTCACAGTACGCTGTGCTTCAATTGATGTTGTAATACTGAGCCACAATACATCACTGTTGCTGTTTGGAGTTATAGCTCATACTTCGTTGTGGCCCTGAATCTCCTGACTCAAATACGTTCGTTTGTTTACACGCGCACCGTCTGTTGTTTGCCTAAAATATTTGTAGTGGCAGTCCAATCCCACGAACGACATGTATGCAGATGCGGTACAAAACGTCGTGCTCCGTGCAGCAATGCAAGGAATGCCTACCCGAGGTGAGTTTTTCTTCTGCACACTTCAATTAGTGGTCTTTCGTACCGGACCCGCATGGTGAAGATACAAGTAGTATTATGAATTTCCCTTTTCCTAACACACAGTAATGTTTTTGGGCGCGTAATTAGCTAGGCCGTCTACGTCTCTTTGTTTGCTGGCATAAATCAGATGTATACACTCTTGCGCCCGACACCAAACATGGATCAGTTTTCTTCACGAGGGAAATGCCGATTACACCGCCCCAACATAACTCCATATGTTCACTCGGAGCAATCATATTGTTCACGATACTGCATACGAAAAGTGTGTGACATGACGCTTAACGCTTTAAAGGCTGACTACCGCAACCTTTTCTAGACTGCAATTTGGTTGTAATTCGAAATATCAGAGGACACGCTTCTCTTCCACAAACGACTAACAAATACATTGGCTTACTCCTTGGACTATTGAAACATCCTACCTTAAGTGAAAAGACCAACTCAGATAAAATACTGCGGTTCGTACCAAGAATCAAGTTACCTATGAATACCCGATGCGCTGCATGGTAAGCCAATGCAGGAATTTCGATGAGCCTACTTTATTCTGAGTTTCTTGTTGCACCAAACGCATAGTACCACGTCTCGTTTAATCGTTGACAACTTGCAACCAAGGATTTTCCACTTTTCTCGACCGAGTGAAGGATAGCGGAGTCCTACTATACGATGTATTTCATTACCGATGTTTTGTGTTCGGTGGTACACAAGCTAGCGTAGAATTGCCGTATTCGACACTTCGATGGTAAAACCCGGGCATCATGTGGTTGTTTGTTTTTCACTTTATTTAACTTATCGCTGCAGTCACTATTTTCCGCAGAAGCTTATCATGCTCTACACTGACCAGTCCAACATATATGTCTTTCTCAGGACTTCCACAGTTAGTGGAGCCGCAGAAGAAGCAGTTTCACATGGCACTGGAAGTTACATTACAAGATGCTTTCGGAATGGGCTGTCTTGAAGTCAATCAAATCGATCCAAACGCCAAATCAGTGCTAGTTTGTGTGGACTCACATGTTGCAGAAGTGAACTTGGAGGATTTAGTAAGTGATAGTCTGTCATTACATACTTTTTTCAGAATTACAAATAACTTGCTGTCGTATGTTTTGAGACTATGATATAAGCAAGGGTGGTGCCGTTCAGCGTCACATCTTTCATCCTTAGGATATCACATTCTAAACTGTTATATCAGTGTCCCCTTGGATGTGTGTAATCTTGAAACCAGAAAGACGTCCCTGATGTTCCGGAGGTCACGTTAAAGTTGCACGACTGTACTTCGGAGCATGCTCCGGACAATCAGTACCACTACGGCGTGATACTGGGTTGCACTACTATTACCCCTCAGGTAACTGCCAAGCAGTTCTCTTTATGTTCCAAATGTTCCGTAGAATTGACATAGCTCTTATGTCAAAGAAAGCTATCACGTTGAATTAATCCACATTCTAACCTTACTCGCCGTCAGTCGTTTGTTATCAGCAATGTGATTCCTCTCACCTCTCCCGTTTTAGACCGTTCGTTGTGAAACAAACTCCAGACTAGAACATGTGATCCGAGTCATGGTGCAGAGACTGAGTCACTGCATATCCGCTGTGTGACTTCGTCGAGAAAGAGAAAAGCTCAGTCATCTGTTCTATATGCTTTTGTACAATTTGTAGCATTTATTGCAAAAATCTAAAATATTTATATGCAAGTGACTGGCTGATCCGAGGGCACCACATCGGGGGGATATTTTTAACGATCATATACCCTAGCCTATAAGTCCGCACTACTTACCGTAATCAGCGCCATGTGCTGACATTTTAATTTCGCGCAGTCACGATTTATGAAAATGGGCGAAAACGACTATTTGTGTACTCAACGTTTCGGCGTGTTTGCAATTGCATCCCCAGTTCCCAATGGATCTATTGGTCACCAGCAAATTCCACGCTGTGAAAAGCTGTTGCACGTGGTTCCCTAGACTTTAGGAGTGTTAGGTTCGCAATGAAAGACAGTCCTATCTGGATGTTCACTCCACACCATAGCTTCCTGCGTTCCAATTAATCGCACATTAATCGTCATCCTCTTGTTAATTAACGAAGGGATAAAAGTAATACTGGGCTCCTATCTGAAATGCAAAACGTCTTGTTATCTATACAGATGGTTGTGATGATTCTCTGTTGAGACCGGTTGCGATTTGATGGGTACCACCAGCTTGTTATCTCACGAGCATGGATGCTTCTGGTTGTGTGTTCAACATTGGCAACACTTCACCGGCGGTGTTCTCACAGGCGTTCTGTCTGTTTGATCTTTCGTCTACCACCACAGTTTTACAGCATGTTGGGCGATTATCTGAACCGAACCTTAGGTGCCTTCCACCCTTTCACCATAGTCGCTGAAAGAATAAAAAAAACCCAAGTTCACAAGACCATTATCCGCTTGTTACATCTTATGCAACAAAGCGCTTGATTGACTTGTGGTATCAGTTGGATCGCACCGTGATATTGAACAGAACAGTAAGCCACACAGACGTTTCGCTTTCACGGACCGCCAGCCGCACGGGAGTTAGGGATACTACAAAATACACCACACGTACGCATATTTCTACTGGTAACCTTTGGGTCTCAGGGGAGATGTCTCTTTCGGCCGACTATAGAAAGAGAAGCACACTTAATTGTGATCGGGTTTTCCGTTGACACATGTGACGGGCGTCCCGTACAGCATTACTCACTTAAAACTATGTTACTATAGGTATCAGCAATGTCTGGACTATACGGATAAAAGTAACTTTATTGCGGTCCTAATCGATTGCCTCACGACTACCGCTTCGATTTTCTAACCAACCTGGCTCAGCGAGCCACGCAGATCGACCTTGCGTTACGTAGCCTGTCTCTCTTCAGGTGCATGTCCGAATGCCGGTAGATACTAGAAGTCAAAGGTTCGAGCGCACAGCAATACGTCAGTTGCGGTACAACCAGTTCACCACACGTGAGTTATGGTAATCGGGCATCAGCTGAGCTCGCATACGCCCGATATCGGATTCCCCTGAGCGGCACTGATCCCCGTAGACAGCAGTGTGCGTGACCTGTCCGCCTGACAATAACGCCAATGGCGACAGTCGTTAACTCTCAGGCTGACAAATGGGATCCATCTTTGCCTGATGAAACTAAACAGACGGTCACTCAATAAGCTCATCACTTTGAAGAACTGGTGTCAATAGGTTTAGCGCGAGACGGGACTCCAGTTGATAGCACATTGGACACCCAACTTTGTGGATATCAAAACGATTGCAGACCACTGTGGATCGTTATCCTCGAGCATTTGGCATATTAATATGGGTGCACACATGCAAGTTGACGGTGGGACAATATTAATTTGAAGTGCATGAACCACTCCTCTGATTCGATTTGAATAACATGCCTGCATCGAGTGCCGAAAAACAAACAATGAATGACAGCTGCAGGGGTGTGCGTTTCTATTAGCCAAGTGGTCACGACAGCTTTGAGTAAACTACGAGAGTATGGCAATAAGTTTCCGGATACATGAAAAGTTTTTTTCTATCAGATAAGCACCACATTTTCTCGAATTGCTCTCCACCAGTGTTCATGCACAGTTCCATGTGCTCAAACCATTTGGAGAAGTAGCTAGACCATGCTGAAGTCGGTAACCCTTTCAAGAAGCTCTAAAAAGGCCTATACTGCAGCTTCTGCGGACTCGTAGCGGGTTGCACGCATCATGCGCTTGACGCTTGGGAACACAAAATGTAACATGGAGCCAGGCCCGGACTGTAGAGTAGATGACCAACTTTCTGAATGCGTTATCTAGCCAGAAAATCTACGATACGGGACCTGTGTGCAGGTGCGTTGCCATGGTGCAGCAAGATCCCCCGTGCTCGAGTCTTTGGACGACGCCTGGTTGCAGCGGCCAGCATTTGTGCCAGAGTTGGTGGCATACCAATCTCCGGTGACTGTGTGTTGCCGTACGAGCGGTACAATAGCCATATGACCGATCTTGGCCACACTGCACTCACGCCGGAATTTCTGAGGTTGGGCCCCACCAACGGCCTTCCAAAGAGCCGATTATTGCCTTGTCTCTCGGTCGAAACTGTACATACAAATCTCATTACAACTGAGGATCTCCCAAACAGCAGTGGAACGTTTACCATCAAACCTGGCAAGCATGGTGCGGCACCAATTCACCCGATCCGCTTTCTGGTTCTCATTGAGCTGATGAGGTACCCAGCGTGCGTAAACCTTTCGCAGGTCGACGTTCTCATGTACGGTAGTGCAGATTGACCCCGATGGCTTTCCCCAACTAGTATAGACCCCCGCGCGTCCTCCTCCGGCATCGCTTTCACAGCAGCAATGTCCGAGTTGGCAGACTCCACAGATCGACCACAGCGTGCCTCATGATCCAAGGACCGTCGCAACGAGACTGGACCTTAACGTGGTGCGACGGTTTGCGTACCTCATTGACCCATTGAGCTATACTGTATGATGCCTCCGAGCATCTTGAGAGCTACTCCTACCAGGTTGGTCAATGGTGAGGGGTCAGACAAACTCAATCTCCTGGTCCTCCAGGTTGGGGGTTTGAAATGGGATGGCGTCCATTTCTGTAAAACTTAACCATTGCCACCTCCCCGCTGCCTTGCGGACAGGCTTTTGAGCCAAAGCCTTTGGATGAGGACCCTAATCGTCCTCCTGTCTAGGCCTGGGCGCCCTGGCAGTATCTCAGCCCACATACAACCATGACATTTTCTTCAAACATAAACATCCTGCATCGGCCGTCGCGCAGATTATCAAGGGTCGCCTTATCTGCTGCATACAGCAGGGCGGATAAGCGAAAACATGCTACTGCTGGCGCCTCCGTTCTTTCTTTTCCACCTTTCTCTCTTACTCCCATCCCGACCCCCATTACTAACCTTCCTTCAATAATTCCCAGCTTAATTGACAGCAACCGAAGTGCTACTGGAGTAGAACCATCTGCAGCCATCATCCCACAGCACCTATCGGCAAAACTCCCCTATAAGGCCACGCTATCCCGTTTCCATGGAGACATTCAGCGTCCGCACTCTAAGACAAACAGGTCAGCAGGCTGCACTCGCACGCACCTTGGACACACTGGATATTGATGTGTGTTGTGTGTCCGAAACTAGGATCAATGACCCTAACGGGGTTAGTGAATTGACTGTACCCGGCTTATCCTCTCGTTATTGGTTGCACGCATCCGGAGACGCCGATGCAGCACTCACGGGTCAAGCTAGTGTAGGTATCATTCTCAGCTCCAAGGCTGAGTCATCGTTGGTTGATTGGATTCCGGTGAACAGCCGGTTTGACGACATCAGCTAAGGTTGATTCACGAAGTAGTACAAAACACTGTTGGTTTGTGATTTACGCTTATGCTCCCACCGACTGCAGTTCAGATGCTGTTAAGGACACATTCCATCACGAACTAAGCGCGCTACTACGCAGTGCTACTAGTTCAAATAGTATAGTACTTGCAGGGGATATGAACGTACAAGTAGGGCATCTGAGCTCTTCAGAAGCTCAGCTGGGTGGTAATTTTGGGCTTAACTCCGAACGGACTGACATCGGTGAGCGTCTGCTGCAACTGTGTGCGGAGCACCAGTTGTTTCTCAGTAGCACTGCTTTTAGACACAGTGGGCGCCGAAGTGCCACTTGGCGTCCTTCTGTAGCTGGCCAGCGATGGACCCAAATTGACCACATAGCCATAAGTTACAGATGGCATGGTTCCATCATGGATTGTCGCTCGTACTGGAGTACCTGTGTCGACTCTGATCATGCCTTGGTACACTGTAGTTTCTCCATGAACTTTACCGGGAGGCGCACCGAGCGTCCCCTACCATTGGCAACTGAGAAATTGTCTCAGTCCTCGGTCAGGCAAGCCTATCAAGAAGCACTGCATACCGAGCTTCCGCTGTCTTGTCCTAATGACACTGAGGTTCAGTGGAATAAGATCTCGGTCGCCATGCACGACGCAGGAGCATCTGCTTGTGGCACTATCCATCGTCACCGCACCAGTCACTGGATATCCGAGAGGTCCGTGAACCTGTTGGAAGCTAGAAGGCACCTCCCGGCTGGTTCTGAACACAATGTGACCAGACGCGCTATTAGGCGTGAACTAAAGCAGACCCTACGTGCTGAGAAGGAAGCCTGGTGGTCCAGTAGGGCTCAAGAAATGGAGCAGGCAGGAGCAGTAAGCAATTACCGGATAAATTTTTTGTTCCTCGATTTCAAGAGTGCGTTCGATTCAGTCGATCGATTGATTCTGTTCGAATTCCTTGCGCGGAAAGGTGTTCCCACGAAATATGTGAACATCCTTTGTGCTCTATACTCGAACACTACAGGCCGCGTCAGGGTCTATGGTGTCCTATCGCATAGCTTTTCGACTACAAGTGGCGTTCGTCAGGGTTGTCCCATTTCCCCATTTTTTTTCAATTTCCTCGTGGATTCTACCATGGAATGTTCCCTTGCAGAATCTCACCATGTAGGCGTTGAGGTGCTGCCTGGTGAAAGGTTAGTTGATCTAGATTATGCGGACAATATCGTCTTGCTTTTCGACGATGTTGGGGCGTCACAATGAACCCTGTATAGCCTGTCCAGAGTGGTTCCATTATTTGGTATGCACTTCGCACCTTCAAAGTGCAAGTGTTGCTGCAGAACCACCACCACTTGATGACCCCTTGACGCTTGCTAACGAGGAACTCGAGGTGGCTGATCATTTCACTTATCTTGGTAGCTGCATTAGCAATGATGGGCGCATAGAAACTGACGTCAGCTCACGCATTGCAAAGGCCAGAGCTGTCTTCTTGAACCTGCGGAATCAAGCACTGAATAAATTGCGTTGGCTCGGGCACGTGCTACGTATGCCTGCTCACCGCTTACCTAGGAGAGCTTGTTCAGTCTGCCAGGTGCAGGATGGCGCAAGGCTCGAGGTGGACAGAAGTTGACTTGGCAGCGGGAAATGAAGTCACTGACAACCAAACTGGGTGCCGTTGGTCCGTCTCGCCTTCCGGGCTGGAGTCAACGTGACCCGCCTTGTGCTTGGCTCGAAACTTGACAGGACATGGCTCGCAACCGACACCAGTGGCACGTCTGCTGCCGTCTCCTAATCGGATTGCCTGTTTAAAGTGTGTTTGGTGCTCAGTTATCTGCTGGGTAATGGCTGATTATGACGCGGGGCAGGGAAAGCTGCAAGGAATCTGTCTCGCCGATGCCGCCTTATCTTTGCACGATAGCCAGCTGTTTGTGACGGTATGTTGTCTACACAAGGTGTAGGCGCCTTGACCCTGAATGTTTGCTTAGGGCATTAAGGTTTTCAGGTAAGTCCCCCTTCTCCCCCTCTTCTTATTCTTTATTTCATAGGTGCTCATGGTTGTATGGCAGCGAAGCATCAGTTCAAATGGCTGATGTACTGCTGTTGATGATGATGCAATGCTTGAATTCCACAAGCCACTCAGTGGTTCTTGAAGGCGCATCATCACGAAACACAGCACGCAGTCGCTCGATACTGATGCTGCTTTAAATCACATTTGTAGTTAGGTCAAGATAAGCTTTATACAGTCAGAGTAGAGTTACCCTTATGACTTGTAAGTTGGGCTGAGCTGCTTGTATAATGTTCCGTGAGTCGAAATCACTGAATAATGTTCAGAATGGATTACAGTTCAAATTTCTTTACTAGGTCCTTTGCATCTAATCCGTGTGCTGCGTATTCGGAAACTAATTGCTTTGCTCTCGTACATTACAGTAGTGAGCATATATGCGGTGAACTCATTGAAAAGCATCGCGATCTTGTATCGAATGAATGCATCAAATAATCCCATAAACCGTTGCGCTAGATTTATATCAGCACTCCAATGCGAGTGTTCATGGGTGTACTTTGGCTTATGGGGACAGCATTGTGGGGTGTCATGTATATGAGAAGAGGCAGAGAAAATAGTAAGCAAATTATCATAAGTCAGCATTTTCTGTGCGAAACATTATGAACCAATTGAAATAATAAATGAACAAATGATAGTGAAAAATTTAGGCCACTTTTTGGACCACATGATAAACAGATGATCACAGAATCAAGAAGCACAAGAAGAATATAGACGGATCCCAGTTTCACTTGAGTAGACCATAGCGGACGCGTCCACGTGGGTGTCCGAACGACCGCAGTGCTCCATCGGAAGTATCTGATTTGACTTCGGGTAATTCGTTTGCGTAATAAGTCGATGTGCCTTTAGTTGCGGAGGACACTTCCTGGAGGAAAGATCTTGAATTGTGCAAATAGGTACCTCCAAGTATCACGTCCACATCGGGCGTTGAGCTGTTTATTTTATGCACTGAACGAGATTCTTCATAAGTTACGCCTCCGATGATGAAAACAATGATTTTCTTGGGGCGCTGGGTTGCAGAAGCGCCTACCGAAGACATGTAGGGGAATGATGATTCGCGTAACTTCCCTTTAAGTAAGTCATTTAGAATTTCCATCAATACAGGTTCGTGTTGGGTGTACACATTGTCGATCCCCTTAAGGCCTTTGACCAGCCGTTTGGTCAAAGCTGTCACAGCACTTGTCGCGATTTGACCGTTGAGGGAATGCGAACCAGAGGTCACTCGTTTCATTGCACCAAAGATTGTTCCTTCATCCGCTCGTGATCGTGGGCCCACGAAGTCTAGTAGATTCTGTATTATTTGTACGTCTTCCTCGTTCGCACCACGGGCGACCAGTGATTTGACAAAATCAGCAATCTCTTTGCGTTGACTCTCGTACCGTAAAGCGTATAACAAGACGAGGCGCACAGCATCCGACAGAGGCAAACGTGGATCAGTCAGCAATCCCTTTATCTGAGCTAAGCTGCTTGCGTGATTATCGTGGCAGACTAGTTCTTGTTCGGCTTCACTGACCTCCAATAGAGCATGCTCTTTTACCAAACGAGACAGTTCAGACACAATAGTGACGTGTGTTTCGACAGTTCCAGAAGCCTTTCTAAATGCTGGGTAATGTTCCAAAAACTTTTTCAAATCTGCGATAGTTTCAACATTTTTACTATCTACGGATCGGGAGGCAGATTGAAAGTTTTCGACAAGCTTTTTAATAGCTTGACCGATTTCACCAAAGTTGGAGTATTGGTTGGAATGAAAGAAATGATCGAATTCCCTGGAAAGCGTGACTTCTCTGAGTTCTGGACGTACACTGGGAGCCCTGGATAAATTAACACGGTTTTGTCGAATGCCTATCAGCTCGTGTATCATTGCCTCGTAGGTCCATTGGGTAAGGAGTGGGGTCACAGGGTCTTGACGTCGGTCAAGTATTAGCAGAACGGAACAGGAATCGGACTGTTTCCCGAAGTCAAACAAAGCTGTTTCGCGTAAAATGACTGAGCGGACGGATTCTGCTAACTGACGAGCTCCTTCGGAGGAGTTTGTATAGCGAATTGCAGGATATAGTTTTAGAGCTAGCAACACGGCGGTGATCCCATCGGTGCATCGAGACAGAGCGGTTGATTTTAAACTTCGATTACCTTCCAGGCAATTGGGAAGATCTAATTCAAAAAGAAATGGGGACAAGGGTAGGAAGTCGCCATAGTACTCATGAACTTCCACAACGACTTCATGCTCATCTGCTTCTGCTAGTTGCTTCAACAAATGCTTTGGTAAGATCTGACTGAAGAAAATAAAATAAGCAGAATAATTTGGGTGTTTCAATTCTTGGGCAAGTAAACTGATGTTTTCTTTCGTGGGTCGTAGGAAAACGATGCACCGGAGATGTTCTAGTGGTTCACGAGGTAAACTGATTCGCTCCACAAGGTAAACTTCCTGCTTCATTATCTCCGACATTGAGGAAACCAAGCTAACGACTTTCAGCATTTCGTTATCTAAGACCAATACTTTCATCCCAGGTCCAGTGACGGAAATCATTTTCGAGAGATAATTTTTTATTGTCAAGTGAAGATCCATCTTGGGGTAATTATTCAGAGGATAAAGCTGTAAAATGAAAGACCGCGTGAGAACATTGCAAAATTCATCGTAGTGCATGAACCGTGATGATGAACATCAATGACAATGAAGGATAAAGCTCAAGACATAACTGAGACAGATATAAGACTATGAAATGAACGGTTGAGTGATGTGCGAAATCTGGTGCATTGTCTGGTCTGGCTGGTTCCATGGTGAACTTACAACTGGCGAAAAAGCTAATCGTCTTACAGCATTTTGAAGAGCGAATGCACATGAATTATTAGATGGACGAATGTCTCCTTAGTGTGCAACGCGTATCGTATGGATGAGCTGGCCGCTTTAAACTTGACGTCCCAAAACGCATTCCACGGTACCTGATATCTAATGGAGTGATGTACGTTACATAGCACGCACGATAAACAGGAAGACGTATACGGCCGTTAGGTGCTAGGACAGGTTTAGTACATTTATTGACTGAAGCAACACTGTTGACATTTTCGCGCAGCCATCAAATCCGACTCCGGGATTTAATGACATTTCGGCATCACCATTCGAAGGGAATATAAAGTGCTTGAAAAAGAAGCTATGGACACTCCAGCAGTAGTATGTTTTTGCATATACACGAGACACTGCGCTATTGTATAAATTATGACCTGATGTAAAACCAACATAACCATTGTGCGATGTAGCTGTGTGATAGCCTACAGTCTTCAAACCAAAAACCTTATCATTCAACTCGTCAGCTGGAGGTGAGACACCATGGATATTGTGCCGCAATACAAATCAATTTCATGTTAGTAAAAGAAAATAACATTGCGCCTTGATTTCCAATAAAGATGAAGATCGAGATCATGGTTGAAAGAGAGGGGACAAAGAATCCCAACACGAACGCTACCAAAGTTGTCCCTTTGTCATGTCGTCTCCAATCAAGCGTGTCCGTCGCTTTTCGACCCCCAAACAGGAAATCGAGAGACTAGAACCGAGACGACCAAGTTCGAATTACAAATTCAACTCTTCTTGTCTAAATCAGCGATCGGCCTCGTTTCCTCTTCTTCCAAGCAGACACCGAAAATACAAGTGTACGTTGCGATAGTCGGTGTATTGATACGTATAACACATGGCCCAGTCATCAGGCCCTAGTGCGTGAAATAATCCTGAAGGGTTCACTTGCTTTTCCTGCACCATAAATAAGGTGGCAAGCAGCGTTCCCATCAGATAAGAGCTAAACTGTGAAGGCACCAGTAATCGAACGCAATCACCTCTTTCATGTTTGTCAATCTCATGAGTCAGGCTTCACAGACGCATAGTAAACTTGAATAGACAGATACACTGTAGACTCCATATTTCGCGTCGAGCGTGATGCCTCTCCGGCACTACAGGTGTCGAAGATAAGCAAAAGCACCTCAAGCATGTTTCGTTCCCTGGGTGTTTATATAGTTGCTCAGGTTGTTGAATTTCTGAGCTATTTCGGGCTGGTCCCCACTAAAAATCAGCATAGAAGCTGGCGTCTGCGAATTCTGGAGGAAAATTTTGCATTTTGTAGGCGCACATATGTGAGTTTTGACAGATTAGTGATATCGTTGGCATACTCCGAATCGATCACCTGGGACTAACCCCAGACCATTTAATTCAAGTCCCCGGAACACTGGAACCATAACTTAGTCAGCAGTGAAGTCACAGAGGAAAGGTCAGTGGCCGAGTGGTATACGCGTCTGGTTTGCAACCATAAGGTCACCGGTTCGAATCCGCGTAGGGGCGCGCGTCCTCGCGGTATACTCAGCCCACGCGCGACCGGTGGTGGTCGCGTGGTAGCGAAGCGCCGATACGGCGTACAGCTGGCGGTTTATTATTATTGTCATTATTATTATTATTATTATAAAGGAAAATGACAATCTGCACCATTGGAAACTTGAAGATCGGTGACAATTTGCCATAAGTCATCACTCTGTTCAGGTTAAGCGCGCGGCCTGGTTTTCGGGCACAGCACCAAATATCCAGATACATGCGTACTGTTCTTATCATCTACTGCTTTTAACTACAGGTGACGTCCAGGACATTTCTCAAATCAAATTGGACGATTTCTAAACAACCAAGAATGTTTCTAGATTAAACTGGACATGGATATTTTCCCACATGGGATATAAACAGTTTGTTAACAACGATAAAGACGGTTGGTGAATGGCTGCTCAGCTAGAGTGGTCGTCATGTTCATCATATTGTGGGTGTACTTGGTGCAGTACTGGTGTGCGACCATTCTACGCCCATTTGAGAGAACATGCTTAGTGTCTGATCAGGCGGTCGGTCATCAAGTGCTTCGTGCATAACCCGTCTGCTTCCGGTTTTAGCATGTAGGAGTAAGGCGAGATAAATTTCCATGACAGCACATGCCCACGATCGTCAGGCATGTGTATTCTGTCCCTGTCCATGTTAAGTCATGCACAGTTCACCTTCAATCTAAACGTTAAAAAATGCCAACAGTTCGTAGAGGAACGTGCAGAAACATGCCATTTCGGATCTCGTTGATGTTTAAGCGAACTAAGCCTTGATAATTCATCACCACAATTAGCATTTCCATGTGGCATTTGGTTGTGCGCAAGATAACGAACGCGTGAGTCCATTCTTTTGAGCGAACTCGCTTCCCACCTCAGATGAAGGTCTAAATCCCTATCTCAAGAATATTCACTCATCCTTGTCTTTCAGTTTGTGTACCGAGAAACCATAGGCTTGCTGGCTTTCGATCATTGTGGCATTTTGATGCGGTCGAGCATGTCGTAGCACATTATCAGTGAGTCTCAGCTCTCTGAGAGTGAAAAATTGTATATATGGTCAGGTTGATCTCGTTCGCCATCAGCCACTGCCGTGTCTGTATCTAAGAACTCTCCGAGTGTCATCAAAGGTAGTTTCGATTAGTCTGAGGGCGTCAGGAGTTGTGCTGAACAGGTATCAATGATGTTTTCGCCGCGCTTTAGCTAACATCCACGAATTGAGTAGGTTCGTTGGTGGTTTCAAGGTGGACGAACACAAGTTTAGTGGGGGGTCACTTCCTGTACGAAGGACGTTCGTTTGCACTGTCGCCGCGTGACAGATGCATCTTCTCGCCGTTATCTGTCCATTTTCGGCTATTCATGACGCACAGTCTATAAGAAGCAAGATTAGCATTGGTAACGGACTAATTAATTTTGAAAAACTCGTGCGAATGGATTGCGACACGCAATCTGTATATGACTCGGTAGCCAAAGTCGTAGAGGCCTCGGGTTCAAGATTTGTTACCTCCACTTGATGAGATAAAATGAGGTAGAAACGCCCCGTGGTGGGCAGTTTCCGAGCGGGCTACACCTATTTTCAACATGTTTTAGCTACGATCTTAGTGATTCAATGACCACGGTACATTTCAATGGAAATCGCGGTACAAGTATAGATTTCGCGTTGCTCTCCATTCACACAAGTGTTTCAAAATGACTCTCCAATCAAGACTGGGGTTATTTGAATCACAACAGGATCGTGTTTGTGAATCTGACTTTTCAATAAGATCCAAACCTGTCTCTGCAATCACATTCCCGAGCTGGATCTGCTCCACACTGCCTTGTGAGTCTGGCTATCGAGCCGAAGGCTCCGGGTCGAGCCCCCAAGCAAACCTCCAAAGCACATACGCCACCTGGCGTGCGATTGCCCACCAATGCAATCGTATGCCTGCGCGCAAAGCACTCAGCATCGGGCGCTGGAACGTGCGCATACTACTGGACCGGAACTCGAGTGAGCGCACCGAGCGACGCACTGCACTGATCACCATGGAACCGGGGCGCTACCAAATCGATATTGCGGCGCTCAGTGAAACCCGGCTCGCTGAGTAAGGTAAGTTGCATGAAGCAGGTGCTGGCTACACATTCCACTGGGTTGGGCAATGCCGTCTTAGCACCATGTGATCATAGGTATAATTTGCAATATGCAATAGCCACCAAGGCCAGCTGGTGGGTGAACTAACAGGCATCAGCACACGACTGATGACTGTTCGCCTACGACTCGGAAGGCGTAAGTTCGCCACCTTTATTAGCACGTACGGTTCGATCATGTCTTATCCTGATGACACGCGTGATCAATTCTACACTCAGCTATCCTCCATGATACGGTCTGTGCCGAGGAGCGACCGACTATTTCTGCTGGGTGATTTCAACGCGCGCGTTGGGCGTGATGCATCGGTGTGGGCAGATGTTATCGGTCCGCATGGCACAGGTTCAGCGAATGCGAACCATGACAGGCTGCTCTGACTGTGCCACTCACGGCCTGATGATCGCGAACACTCGGTCTGCACTGAGTGCAAATGAAATAGCAACCTGGACGCACCCACGGAATTGTCACGCTCACCTGCTCGACTATGTCATCGTACGTCAGCGCGATATGCGTGAAGTGAGCATCACACGTGTACTGCGTGGAGGTCAATGTAGCACTGATCCCAAATTGGTGCGGACCAAACTACATATATTTTCGTGAATCTATGTTTTGCACTCCCGCCATGAATCAACGTCAATTTAACATTCCCTTGGTACTGTGGAGAAACGTATTGAGCTGGAGAAGGCAATGGCTGCATAGCCACAGTGGGCGACCTGTGGCATCACATTCGCGACCAGGTGACAACTGCTACCGAGGAGACCATCGGGCGCGCAAACTATAAGCGGTCTGATTGGTTTGATGAGAACAATGCAAAGATTTGGGCATTGGTGTCGGAGAAGACTGCAGTATTTGCTACACATGTCGCAGATTCCAGTGACTTGGGGAAGGGTAGTCAGTTTCGCAAACTTCGACGGCGACTAATCGGTGAACTGAGTCGCATTAAAAATGCATGGTGGACGGAGAAGGCGAAGCAGATGGAATGCTACCCTGAA